GCTCAATCATGTTCCCAGCACTTACAGGTAGTGTGGTTTAGAGGAAGCTAATTCACCTCTCTGCGCTTCCGTTTCTTACCTGTAAAATGAGCATTATAATAATCTTCTAAATTGCTGTGAGGTAATACTTCAAGCATTTCCTGGTACACAGTAAGTGCTCAGTAAATACTCTTCCCCTGTCTCTCTTGATGTTTTCCCTCAGGCCTGAATATCTCTGGGCACACTGTTTGCTTTGGAATATAGCCAGCCAGGAAGGGTTATGAGAAGTGGTGTGGTTTATGGCCCGAATGACAAAATGAATTGCCTTTGTCTTCTGTTCGTCCTGGATTTTCATTAATTCTTCCGTATGAACCGAATCCTGTCAGTTTCTTAAACTCAGCAATAATAATCACAGTGTTTAACATTTTAATAAAACAATGGAAGCATGTACATGTGAGTGTGAGTGTGAGTGTGCGTGTGTGCATGAGAAAGAAAGAAATTTTACATAAGAGTTAACTTTTTGTTTCTATTTTCAGTGGTATCAGTTTCCATGAATAAGCTATTGTAAAAAATCAGTAATTTCCCTTTAAATTATAAACATATAAATGCCATCTTGCTTGAGAGTATTCTTAAAGTTAACAACTCTGATAATGGGATGCAACTTTTCTGTTATGTTAAAAGAGGACAGATTTTCTTTCTCTTAAGAAGATTTCTACTTATATTCTTCAATGTTTCAATCATTTTCAAATTCTGATTTCTGTCTCTGCTACTGGCTATGAATGTGTTGAGGTTTCAAAGCATTCAGTTTGGCCCTACATTTATCAAAAATGCCACTCATTTCTTAGCACAGTCTACAGATTCACAAAGCCTGCCTGATTCTCCATATCCCTTGTCACCTGCAGAGGCAGAGCACTCAAGGTCACGGAAGAAGGAAGAAAGGCCATGCATGGGTTATACCTGCCAGCAAAACAGGTGACAGGCAGCCAGTCTGAGCCATCTCAGCTCCACCGGAAAGTTTTTGTTCTAACAGGCTGAATCTAAAGGCTTTCTAACTGCCCACTCACGTCATGGAACACCTGCGGTCCACTATTTGAGGTCCTCTGCTCCCTGATTTCTATACACTTTCCCCTCCTGGCTTTCTTCCTGCAACCTCCTCTTCTGCCTGTCTGAAAAAGTTTAGTTTTATTCCAAGCCTTTTAGAATATTATTTTTAGTATAATGATAGGTAATCTTTATTTTAAATGCCATAATTCTAGTCTCTCTCCAACGTCCTAGGTACCACAGTCATGAAGCTTCTTATTTGACAATAATGAAAATGTGGTCTTGAGTCAGGATAAGTAAGGTTAGGACCCATACTTATTTATCCTTTGTGTAAAGCCCCATGGGCCCCTTTTGCAGCTGGCTTTTTCCCCTTGCACCCTCATGCATCAGCACCTAACTCTTTTGCAAGATAACTGGGTCCTACCGAATACCAACAGACTGCCAGATGGTTACAAGTTTCTAATTCTCAATATGGGTTTGGGAAAGAGAACAAAAGTCCCTTATTTATGATGTAACTTCCCCAGTCTCCAGCCAATCAACACCCAAAACACAAGAAACTATTAGCTACAAATTTCTGCCTGCTGGGCATTGGGAGAAGGGCAGAGACTTCTGCAGGGCCTTACACGTGTAGCTAGATTCAAGGTTTAGCTTACGGTAATATTTTTCTCATTTTAATATCCAAAAAAAAATCCTTAGATAGAGATTTTATGTGCTAATGATACATGTGATGTGTCTTAAGGAATGTGGATACTGAGTGCCTGTACTAACCACAGATCCACCTTCACATACTTGACCTCACCAGTGTTTTATGAATATGCCTGTACAGTTCCCATAAAGGGCATTCCCTTCAAGGCACTAGGGGTTATCTCTCTCTTTTTGAGCAGCTCACTTTGCCTCTAAGATTTTGAGAGCAAATCTAAAGTAAATATAGACAAAGTAGTTTGTTGCACCTCACTTTTCAATACTTTCACTTTGATATAAGCTTCTTTGTCTATTCTTACTTGGAATTCACTCTCAACATATTTTGTGCAGAGAAGTCAACAACCTGAACAAGCCTACTGACAACAGTCTTGCCAACTTTTCTACAAACTCCGTTCTTTTTTATTTTATTTTTACTTTAAGTTCTGGGATACATCTGCAGAATCTGCAGGTTTGTTACGTAGGTATACATGTGCCATGGTGGTTTGCTGCACCTATCAACCTGTCATATAAGTTTTAAGCCCTACATGCCTTATGTATTTGTCCTAATGCTCTCTCTTCTTTTGTCTCTCATCCCCCAGCAGGCCCCAATATGTGATGTTCCCCTCCCTGTGTCCATGTGTTCTCATTGTTCAATTCCCAGTTATAAGTGAGAACACGCGGTGTTGGGTTTTCTGTTCCTGTGTTAGTTTGCTGAGAATGAAGGTTTCCAGCTTCATCCATGTCCCTGCAAAGGATATGAGCTTATTCTTTTATATGGCTGCATAGTATTCCATGGTGTGTGTGTGTGTGTATATATATATATATATATATATATATATAAAACACATTTTCTTTATCCAGTCTAACATAGATTGGCATTTGGGTTGGTTCCAAGTCTTTGCTATTGTAAATAGTACTGCAATAAACATACATGTGCATGTATCTTTATAGTAGGATGATTTATAATCCTTTCAGTATATACCCAGTAATGGAATTGCTAGATCAAATGGTATTTCTGTTTCTAGATACTTGAGGAATTGCCACACTGTCATCCATAATATATGAAATAATTTACACTCCCACCAACAGTGTAAAAGCATTTCTATTTCTCCACATCCTTGCCAGCATTTGTTGTTTTCTGACTTTTTAATAATTGCCATTCTAACTGGTATGAGATGGTATCTTATTGTGGTTTTGACTTGCATTTCTGTGATGATGAGGTTTTTTATATGTTTCTTGGCCTCATACATGTCTTCTTTTGGGAAGTGTCTATTCATATCCTTTGCCCACTTTTTGATGAGGTTGTACAAACTCCATTCTTTGTATTGCATTCTCTCCCTCCCAGGAGCAAGTTTATGGTCCATGGCCTCTTAATCCAGTGCACATTTTCTGCTTTTCCATTATAGCACTTACTACAATGAATAACCAGAGCATTTTTTTTTTTTTTTTTTTTGAGATGGAGTTTCGCTCTTGTTACCCAGGCTGGAGTGCAATGGCGCGATCTCGGCTCACCGCAACCTCCGCCTCCTGGGTTCAGGCAATTCTCCTGCCTCAGCCTCCTGAGTAGCTGGGATTACAGGCGCGCGCCACCATGCCCAGCTGATTTTTTGTATTTTTTTAGTAGAGACGGGGTTTCACCATGTTGACCAGGATGGTCTCGATCTCTTGACCTCGTGATCCACCCGCCTCGGCCTCCCAAAGTGCTGGGATTACAGGCTTGAGCCACCGCGCCCGGCCACCAGAGCATTTTATCCATGGCCTCTCATTCATTTCTGAGCTACTTGAGAACAAGAATCCTGTCTTAATTGTGCCTGATATCTATCACTGTGTGTATGATGAGCCCAGAGTAAGCAGTCAAAAAATGTCAGGGAAAGAAACAAATGCATCTACTTTTTAAAAACATTGACACCATCTTTTTTTTAGATGTGAACACTTCATAAGACAAACTGATAGACACAGAAAGTAGATTAGAAGTTACCAACGGCTAGGAGGAGGGAGGAATGAGGAATTATGGATTAAGGGATACAGAGTTTCTGTAAACCTGTAAAAGGTGGTGGTGGTTGTACAACACTGTGAATGTATCAAGTTAATAGTAACGGCAAAACTGCAGTTACTTTTGCACCAACCTAATAACTAATGACACTGAGTCATGCACTTAAATATGGTTTTAATAATAAATTTTACGTTACATATATATATACATATATATATACACATTTTTTCCACAATAAAATTTTTAAATGACTTATTTATAAACACAAAAGGCATCGAAAGCAAGGTAACTAAAAAAACATTTTCTAAGAGGAAAAGCTTATTTGCTAAATAAAGAACTCAAAAAAGGAAGCTCAGCAATTAGTCTCAGAAGCAAATGCAATGGTGTCAATAGCTTTTTTCACTTATTCTCACTTCAGACAAATATGGCAACAGAAAAAAAATTATTCATTAATACAATGAATTTTAAAAATGAATGAGTGAATAACTAAATGATTAAAAAAATTTAAATAGAGGAATATCTAAAGTTGAATGCATGGGCCCAGCCCAGTACGGTTCATTGCTTTGCTGATCAGGCAGCTGTTAGCTGGTCAAGATGGTCTGTGATCTACATGCACATAGAACATACATGGACATGTCTGCCATTTGTGTTTGATAGGATGGGCTGTCAAGGCGAACAGTCATGGGGCTTAATGCTCAGATCAACCGAATTTGTGTCATGGATCTGTCTCAAATTTTGTAACCTCTGTAAGAGTTTTAATCTTGCTGAAGCAAAGTTTTCTCATCTGAAAAGTGAAAGAGAAAAAAAAGTCCAACATCATTGCTTTTTTGTGGAGGAAAACACACCTGATTAGGGCCTGTCACACAGAAGTTCCTTGCTTATTCAGTGTTATTTTTATTACAGAGGTTCAAATAAATTCATGTGGAACAAATAGTTATTCCACAGAAAATATTATGGGTTCTGAAAAGAATATTAGTGCCAGATATTCATGGTATAACAATTTTTCTTTTTCTTTGCTAAATTTTTACTTAGCATTCTTCGTAAGTTATGCAATGTTAGTTCATCTAAAATTCTAAGCTATAGCTCAGAGGCTTTGGGGAAATACCCATCAGTGTTCAGACCAACTCTATTGTTGGTGATCTGTAATTTATCTTTTCTAAGCAAACATAGGAGTTAAAATTGAGACACATGCCTTACCTTAGAGGATTAGTCTTACAAGTGCTGATTTCCATGTATAGAGTTTTTTCTAACCCTTTTCTCTTTTCCTTTTTCTCTTTCCCTTCCTTCCATGCTGACTTTGGTGTAGCAGACCACTTGGGAATTGAATTCATGGGTAAGACTAAACAATTTGCTCATTTAATACCTCGAAAATGCTAAGCTTTATAATGTATATAGTATTTTCCTTCTCCATCTGATTATAATTGAAATGTCTCATTATCAGATGCTATTAATAGAAAAAACTGTTCTTGTTGATTTTTCACTAAGTAGTGGCTCAAAATGAAAGAATTAACTACTTATTGGGAAGGCAATTTAATGTTAAGTGCAGTGTCTGGAATCATAAAGACGTTGTGTTTGGCTCCTGGCTTTGATTATTTCCTCTAATTCTCAACTTTCGTATCTGTAAAATAGGGATAATAATAGGTTCTATTTTCTGCACATATAAATTGCTTAGCATAATGTCTACAACATGGCAAACACTCAATAAAAAAATCAATGTTTTTTAAATTAAGTCCCTTTCCTTTTGTGAGATGATTACTTTGGATACATTTTGGTATCAATTTTAATTCGGAGTATAGGCTATTAAACATTTTCATTCACAAAATTAAAATGTTTCTTTTAAAGTATTTGGAGTGAATGCTGTATGTTTTAAAGCATTAGAATGCCTTCCATGAGCACTATTTTTATAGTCACAGATAACTGCATGAAAAATTAGAGCTAATTCTCTGAGTCTATGGCTGTAAGTTAAATGAAGACAGAATGTTTCATAAGGTTCAATATGCATCATGGTATACGGATGGAAAGACACTCAGGAGTCAGAGTTAGGGAAATTGAGAAGATCTAAATTTGAATCCAAATTCATCTGCTTCCTTGGATTCTGTTAAATTCAGATTTTTTCTCTTATATGATTCGGATATGAATCCTTGCTTTATACATGAATGTTTATTGTGATGAAAATTATACACTTACTTGCATAATTTATCCATTTGCCCATTTATTCAGCAAATACATATCAAGCCACTATAAGCAAAGAAATAATACATGATGCCAGAGATAAAATAGTGAGTCAAAATGAACAAAAACCTAGTCTAATGGAGCTTATAGTGTAGTAAGCTTATAGATGAAAATCAGGTAATACAACTAATATAAAATTCCGTTTCTTAAGACATACACCAGGGAAGAAGATATTAACTTAGACTAGTGTGATAATAGGAAATATGAGGAAAAGTTGATAGATATTTAAGAAGTAATATCTTGTGTTTGAGAAGGATTGATATTAAAGGTTGGAAGAGGGAGAATTATCAAGGATGACTGCAAGATTTATAGTTCAGAGCTCCAGATTAAAAAGTGGGCCACTTACTGAGAAATAATTCTGACCGAAGAACAGATTTATGGGAAATGTTCACTAGATTAGATATAGAAGTGTTGATTTGGGATGCCTTTGACATATTTGAGAGATAGATGTTAAGTTGGTGGTTGTATTGTTGGAAGTGTTGAGAGTTAATTAGAAACTTGTGAAACATTTTTATACTGGAATTGGTGTTCCCGATTGTATGGTATTACTTATTATTGCTCCATTCTGTGGGTATTACATCATAGAAAAGGCAGACAGCTCAATTCCTACAGGCTTGCGGTTTTGCTGGTTACATGTAATGAAAAAACAGAAAATCAATGAAATTCAGGATGTTATTCAAATGAAGCACCATGGAATGTGAGATAGTTGTGGAAGGAAGTGAAAGAAGGATGACTCGTTGCAATGAAACCAATTAATAGTCATCATGAGAGTGCTTTAACAAGCTGGTAGGAAGGAGAGATTATAGTCATATGGCAGATTGGTTGATTTTGATGTTGAAGATGGAGGAGTTATAGGAGATGATAATATTGAAAGTATTCCTAAGAGAGTAAATAACCAAACTGAGGTTGAGGAAGAAATAATTTGAAACTAGAGGTCAAGTACTTGAGAGGACATAGTTTTTAATAAGTTATCTAATGGATATTCCAGTTACTCATGATAATGCTAGAATTTGGATAGAGAGAAAAAAAATGTTATATGTAAATTTTCCCATTAATAATATAAACTATATTGAATTTGGTAGGTGACAATGAAGGGTATAGTTAAGCGTAATGTCGGACGCATCAAAAAATAGAGCCCACATTATAATGGCTCAAGGACAGTAGCAATTTATTTCCTGATACTATTTGTTCTTCTCCAAGTGAGGGGTATTTCCTGTTTAAGGTAGCAAATGACTAGCTTTATCCAAGTAGTGAATTAGAGATCCAGGCGTCTTCCTTCTTATGGTTTCATTGTTACATAGATTTCTTTGCTATCTGCATGTAGTCAGCAGATGGGAAAAGAAAACAGAGCCGATGCATGCCCATTTCTTAAAAGACCCCGTCTCTACTAAAAATACAAAAATTGGCTGGGCATGGTGACGCGCGCCTGTAGTCCCAGCTACTCTGGAGGCTGAGGCAGGAGAAGTGCTTGAACCCAGGAGGCAGAGGTTGCAGTGAGCCGAGATCGCGCCATTGCACTCCGGCCTGGGTAGCAAGAGTGAAACTCCGTCTTGAAGAAAAACAAAACAAAACAAAAAAAGACTGATCTACAAGAACTCACATCACTTTTTGATTAATAATCTATTAGGTAGGACTAAATTACATGACCTCATTTTACTGTAAAAAAGGCTGGGAAATGGAACCCTGAGAGAAAAGAGGAAACACATTTTTAGAAATCTCTGCCACTGTGTAAATGACATAAACTTTAAAGGAACAGGATTTTTCATAAAAGACAATTGAAAAAGTACTTTAGAAGCCAGAAGGACAGAGCCCCAACATTGAAAGTGAGAAAATAAGAACAACTCTTGAGCCAGGTAGAGGAAAATGAGATTTTTCAGGCAAGATTCAGGTTTCCATTAAAATAGAAGAAAATAAGAAAGAGTCAAAAAAGGGATTGAGAATGCAGAGGGTGTGTTGCTGGATGTAGATGAGCAATTTCATGGAGGCAAGTGGAGAGTTTAACTGGTGGAAGAGGAGTAGAAAGCTGAGTCATGGGCCACAAATTATGGGAAATTATGGGCATATTTTTGTAGTAAGGATACATTGTTGAGAAGGGCACACAGTTTGTACCCTCCTCATTTGCTGATGATGGCAGGGATTCGTAGCATGGAGGTTTGAGCATCATACAATGTATAATGATATGTATCCATTATTATATTATCATACAGAGTAGGTTTATTGCCTTAAAAATTATTTGTGTTCTTTCTATTCTTCCCTCCCTTTCTCCAACTATTGGTCTTTTTACTGTTTTCATAGTTTTAACTTTTATAGACTGTCATATATTTGGAATAATACCTTTTGCACTGGCTTATCTTACTTAACAATTTTTTCAGGTGTTTTCACTGCTTGATAGTGCATTTGTTTCTAGAGCTGGATAATATTACATTGTCACCTTTTGAAGGACATCTTGGTTGCTTCCAAGTTTTGACAATTATGGATATAATTGTTGGAAGCATCTGTGTGCAGGCTTTTGTGTAAAAATACATTTTCAACTTTTTTTGTGTAAATACCAAAAGCATGATTGCTGGGTCATATGGGAAGGTTATGCTTAGTTTTGTTAGAAACTGCCAAACTGTCTTCCAAGGTGGCTGTACCATTTTGCATTCCCACCAACAATGAATGGGAGTTCCTGTTGCTCCACATGGTCTCCATCATTTGATGTTGTCAGTGTTCTGGATTTGGGCCATTTCAATAGATATGTAGTGGAAACTCCCTGTTTCAATTTGGACTTCACTAATGACACTTAATGTGAGCATTTTTTCATATGCTTATTTGTCATCTGATATTTCCTTTAATGAGGTGTCTTCCAAGGTCTTTGGCCCATTTTTAAATCAGTTTGTTTTCTTATTGTGAAGAATTATTTGTATATTTTGAAAAATGATCCTTTATCAGATATATATTTTGCAAATATTTTTTTTGTCATTCTTGGCTTTTCCCTTTGTTCTCTTGAACAATATTGATACAGTCCAGATTATAAAATCTTCCTTTCATGTATTGTGACTTTAATATTGTATCCAAAAGTAGTTGCCAAATCTAGTTTATCTAGATAGTCTCATATGTGATCTTCTATGAGTGTTATAGTTTTGCATTTTACATTTAGGTTTGTGGTTTATTTTGAGTTAATTTTTGTGAAGTATGTAATGGCTGTGTCTAGGTTCATGTTTTATTGCATGTGGATGTTGAGTTGTTTCAGCACCATTCATTGAAAAGCTTATCTTTACCCCATATATTGTCTTTTCTCCTTTGTCAAAGATCAGCTGACTATATTAATATGTATCTATTCTGGGTTCTCTATTCTGTTCCACTAAACTATTCATTTTTTTTTTTTGCCAATACCATACTGTTTTTATTACTATAGCTTTATAGTAAGTATTGAAGTAAGGTGGGTCAGTCTTTCAACTTTGTCTTTTAATGTTGTGTTGAGTTTTCTGGATCTACTGCCCCTCCCTATAAATTTTAGAGTCAGTTTATCAAGATACACAATATAACTTTCTGTGATTTTTATTGGAATTGCATTAAATCTATAAATGAAGTTGAAAAAAGCTGATATCTTGACAATATTGAGTATTTCTATCCATGAACATGAAATAGCTCTTCACTTACTTAGGTTTTTTTAAGTCTTTCATTAGAGTTTTATAGTTTTATTTGCATACATCTTATATTTATTTTGCTAGACTTAAACCTAGATATTTCATTTGGGGGATGCTAATGTAAATGCTGTTGTGTTTTCAATTTCATATCATATTTGTTTGTATTGACTTTTGTATATTAACCTTGTAGCCTGTTACATTGCTATAATCATTTATTTGTTATAGGAATATTTTAAATTTTAATTTTTTTTACCTAAGCAATTATGTCATCTACAAAGACAATTTACTTTTTCCCTTTCAAATCTGTCTACCTTTTATTAACTTTTCTTATCTTATTTATATCACTACAACTTCCAGTATGATGTTGAAAAAGAATGATGAAAGGGGGCATCTTTGCCTTGTTCATAATCTTAATGAGAAAACTGTAAGTTTCTTATTAAAAATTATATTAGTTATAGATATTTCGTAGATA